TCAAAAAGAAGAGGTGTGTCGCTCTGAGTGACCACAGCAGACCCTTTTGACGCGTAATTTTGTTTTATATTGTACAAATTTCTTACACAATGCCACACCCGAAGACACAGTATTTGAGTACAATCAGCAAGAAGCTCAGGTAGCGATTAGAAACAATGAAAAAAGCTAGAGATGAAGGCAGCAGCAGAGTGAGGCAGTTCACCATTGCCACCACCACTGTGGCCAGTGATCATGTCTTCATTTATATATATACAGTGACCCCCGCATACCGTACGCATTGCATACCATACAATCCGCATACAGGACGCTTTGATCGCTAAAATTTTGCCTCACATACTGCCCAAAAACCCGCTCACCGCCCTTCGTCCGAGACGCGTCCAATGTGCGGCCTGAGCCAGCCTCATATGTTCCGCCGGTGGCATTGTTTACCAGCCAGCCTCCGCGGTAACATCCAAGCATACAATCGGAATATTTCGTATTATTACAGTGTTTTCGGTGCTTTATCTGGAAAATAAGTGACCATGGGCCCCAAGAAAGCTTCTAGTTCCAACCCTACAGCAATAAGGGTGAGAATTCCAATAGAGATGAAGAAAGAGATCATTGATAAGTATGAAAGTGGAGTGCGTGTCGCCGACCTGGTCAGGTTGTACAAGAAACCCAAATCAACCATCTCTACTATTGTGGGCAACAGAAAGGCAATCAAGGAAGCTGTTCTTGCCAAAGGTTTAACTGTGTTTTCGAAACAGAGATCGCAAGTGATAGAAGATGTTGAGAGACTCTTATTGGTGTGGATAAATGAAAAACAGCTAGCAGGAGATAGCGTTTCTCAAGCGATCATAAGCGAAAAGGCTAGGAAGTTGCATGAGGATTTAATTAAAAAAATGCCTGCAACTAGTGATGATGTGAGTGAATTTAAGGCCAGCAAAGGTTGGTTTGAGAGATTTAAGAAGCGTAGTGGCATACATAGTGTGATAAGGCATGGTGAGGCTGCCAGTTCGGACCACAAAGCAGCTGAAAAATATGTGCAGGAATTCAAGGAGTACATAGACAGTGAAGGACTGAAACCTGAACAAGTGTTTAATTGTGATGAAACAGGCCTGTTTTGGAAGAAAATGCCAAGCAGGACCTACATTACTCAGGAGGAAAAGGCACTCCCAGGACATAAGCCTATGAAAGACAGGCTTACTCTGTTGATGTGTTCCATTGCTACTGGTGATTGCAAAGTGAAGCCTTTATTAGTGTATCACTCTGAAACTCCCAGAGCGTTCAGGCAAAAGAATGTCCTCAAGGAGAATTTGTGTGTGCTGTGGAGGGCAAACAGTAAGACATGGGTCACTAGGGACTTTTTCTATGACTGGTTACACCATGCATTTGCCCCCAATGTGAAAGATTACCTAACTGAAAAGAAATTAGAACTTAAGTGCCTCCTGGTGTTAGACAATGCCCCTGGTCATCCTACAGACGTGGCAGAGCGACTTTATGGGGACATGAAATTCATTAAGGTGAAGTTTTTGCCTCCTAATACCACTCCTCTCCTGCAGCCCATGGACCAGCAGGTTATTGCAAACTTCAAAAAACTGTACACAAAAGCTCTGTTTGAAAGGTGCTTTGTAGTGACCTCAGAAACTCAACTGACTAAGAGACTTTTGGAGAGATCACTTTAATATCCTCAATTGTATAAACCTTATAGGTAAGGTTTGGGAGGGAGTGACTAAGAAGACCTTGAACTGTGCTTGGAAGAAACTGTGGCCAGAATGTGTAGACAAAAGTGATTTTGAAGGGTTTGAGGCTAACCCTGAGAGGATTATGCCAGTTGAGGAATCCATTGTGGCATTGGGAAAGTCCTTAGGGTTGGAGGTTAGTGGGGATGATGTGGAAGAGTTGGTGGAGGAGGACAATGAAGAACTAACCACTGATGAGCTGATAGATCAACTTCAACAGCAAGAGGCCAGACCTGAGGAAACTGGTTCGAAGGAGGGGAGAGAGAAATTGAAGAAATTGCCTACTACAAAGATTAAGGAAATCTGTGCAAAGTGGCTTGAAGTGCAAACCTTCATGGATGAAAATCACCCTCACACAGCTATTGCAAGCCGTGCTGGTGACTATTACACTGACAATGTTGTGAAACACTTTAGGGAAGTCATAAAGGAACGAGAGGTACAGGCCACTATGGACAGATATGTTGTGCGAAAGAAGTCCAGTGACTCTGAAGCTGGTCCTAGTGGCATTAAAAGAAGAAAGGAAGTAACCCCAGAAAAGGACTCGACACCTCAAGTCTTAATGGAAGGGGATTCCCCTTCTAAATACTAACACTCTCTCTCCCCTCCTCCCATCCCATCAATCATCACCAGATCTTCAATAAAAGTAAGTGTCATGTAATTGTGCATGCCTTTTTCAGTTTGTGTGTATTAAAATTAACATTTCATGTGGTAAAAAAAATTTTTTTCATACTTTTGGGTGTCTTGCACGGATTAATTTGATTTCCATTATTTCTTATGGGGAAAATTCATTCGCATACCGAACATTTCGCATAACAGCCAGCCCTCTTGCACGGATTAAGGTCGCTATGCGGGGGTCCACTGTACATTTGTCTTGACCACACCTGTGGTTACATATGTGACAACCTCACCACTAATCATTGATAAACACAAGCTAGGTGTACAGATATGGACTGGGAAGATACTATAGTGGGAAAGTAAATGGTGGATGATGCTGGCATCATCACTCGCCATATTATGGCCTATTTTATTCATTTTAGAGTATATATCATGTTTGTTATTAATATTGTTTAGTATGTCATATTAGATGAATTGTTAAGATAAATAAGCTGTAGAGTTGATATCAGCATTATTTTGTCATGCCTCCTGAGAGGCTGGAACGGATTAATTGCATTTCAATTAATTTAAATGAGTAAAATTGACTCGGCATATGAACAAATTAGGATACGAATAAGGTCACGGAACAGACTAAGCTCATAAGCCAAGGTTCTACTGTACGTACATTGATTTCTTAAGTGCCCATCTCTTCTTTTGATTTGCCTGTATATGCCTCTCTCTTGACCAATGAGATGTTTTAATCTATTGTTTATCCATATAGGATCATCTTTCTTTGATCTGATTTCCCTATTCGGAACAAATTGTCTGAGCAGCTAGAACTATGCTCTGGAAAATGTCTTAACAACCATCACCACTTACCTGACCCATAGCTATGGGTCAGGTATGTCAGGTCATTCCAGTTCAGCCCACCCAGGTAATTTGCCAGTCCTATGAAATCAGCCAAGCAGAAGTCAGACAGACTTGATTTGTGATCACTTTCCCCAAGCTCATCATTAACCTCAAGATTATTAATTAGCGATTCCCTGCTGGCAAGAACCAAGTCAAGCAGGTTATTTTCTCTAGTTGATTCTGTCACAAACTGTTTTAAAAAACAATCCTGAATCATATCGTATGTAGATGCCTTAAGAATTTCGTCCCATAAAAGCTTACTGCATTCCCTGTCAAGGTTTTGGGGCCTGTAAATCACACCCAAGATTAGTTTTTTAATGGCCCTCAAGAAGCTGTAACCAAACAGATTCAGTGGCTGGCTAATTTTATATCCACCACCCTTCCTGTTGACCTTATCAGTGTGGAATAATATATAGCCATGTATGTGGCATTCAGAAGGCATTTATCTTTGAGATTGAGCCACCTCTCTGTTATAGCAATAATATCTATGCTTCCTGCACTTGCAATTAATCTTGGCTCGTCTATCTTATTTCTTACACTCCTGCTATTAGTATAGCAAATCTTAAGGGAGCTAGTCTTGCTGCCCTCTACTGTCTTCCTTTGTTTGCTGACCTGATCCATTGTCTTTATTTGTAACTTTATGATGAATAATGTCTTCAACATTTACTGTTTCCAACCATTGTGCTGCAACCTGACTGTTTCCCACACACACCCATACCTCTATCTTCTGTCAGTTTAAAATCCTAGACATGTCAGCAATGACCCTCTTGACAGAGTTGGCAAATGTTACCACCTCTGCCCCAGAAAGATGTACCCCATCCCTGGCATACATACGTTTGCCACAAAAGTTGCTCCAGTTATCAATGAATGGGATTACAAGTTCCTTGCAGTATGTGTCCAGCCAGCAATTTACACCAATTACCCTAGACATCCATTCACTGACCACTCCCCTTCTAGGCAAGATGCTACATATGATTGGGACCCCTCCCTGAGACATAATTAAATCTATAGCCGACCTGTACTTATCTAGCAGCTCTTCTCTCATACCTTTCCCGATATCATTTCCACCAGCATTGAGACATATAATGGGCTTGTTCCCATTACCTGACATTATCCAACCTGTTGACTATGTCACCAACACTATCTCCAGGAAAACAAAGTCTCACTTTATTCCTATTACAGAAAGCATGGTCCATATATCTTACCTGTGAGTCACCAATCACAAGAATGCACTTACCTCTTAGTAAGGGAAGTAGTACCTTTATCTTCACTGCCAACTAAAGTACAGTGGTACCCCAAGTTTCGTACAGCTCCCAACTCGAACAATTATGCAAGTGTATTTTAAGTATTTCTTATGGGAACAAATTCGCTCGGTAAGGGCACTCGAACAGCCTTCTAGAATGAATTATGGCTGAAACTCTGGGTACCACTGTACACTCGTCTTGAAGAACAGAGAAGCAATTTCCTACCTTCAAATCTTTTCTCTTAATCTTCCTTATTTTGATGCTCTTCCCATTACTAGGAACCACTCGCTACTTGTAGTAGGTGCTGGACTGCTCCTCACTGCTGGTAGCCCCTCATTCCCCTCACCCACTCCAGCCACCTCTCACACACTCCCAAACTCATGAAGGTGAACCTTCAGACTCCTGATTTCCTCCTGGAGAAGTAGGACCACCTCCTTCAACACACTAACCTTAGTTGTGCCGGTGAGGACAACACCAGTCATTTCTCCCTCCCATGTTAGTACGTACTTCAAGAATTAAAAGTATTGCTTACCTTGCATTATTCTCCTCTTCATACTTGTTTTGAGGCCGAACCCTGACAACCACTTTTAGATTAGCTTTAGATGCTGCACCAAACTGCACTTCATCATTTAACTGCCTAATGAGCGCCTTCTTGCGCAATGAAGTATTATTTCGCTTTGGGGACTTAAGTGGCGAATGCACACGTTTCAAGACTTTTCTGTTTAATGTCATCTTGCCTGAAAACAAAATATTTGTTTAATGACTAAGGAGAAAAACAATTTTAATTAAGGAGATAATATACACGAGAAACTTAATTATACATAAATGCTACCAAATGAGAATATAAATATTTTTCACAATTTGGCAGACTATTTACAGATAGGTAATGGGTCTGCAAGGCCTGTCCTAGTCAGTAAAAGTGTATAGTATACAGTGGACCTTCAGCTATCGGCCACAATCCGTTCCAGAAGCTTGGCCTAAAACCGAGATGGCCGAAAACCGAAATAATATTTCCCACAAGAATTAATGTAATTACAATTAATCCGTTCCAGACAAAAATATTCACCAAATAAAATTTTCTTTTTAACAATTAAATCAGAATTACATCCATTTATTGAAGACTTATGTTGGCTTCTGGAATGCCAGACACAGACAGACAGTCAGGTCAGTCAGGTCGGTCAGTCAGTCAGGTCAGTCCAGTCAGGTCAGTCCAGTCAGTCAGGTCAGTCCAGTCAGGTCAGTCCAGTCAGGTCAGTCCAGTCAGTCAGGTCAGTCCAGTCAGGTCAGTCAGGTCAGTCCAGTCAGGTCAGTCCAGTCCAGTCAGGTCAGTCCAGTCAGGTCAGTCCAGTCAGGTCAGTCCAGTCAGGTCAGTCCAGTCAGGTCAGTCCAGTCAGTCAGGTCAGTCCAGTCAGTCAGGTCAGTCCAGTCAGTCAGGTCAGTCCAGTCAGTCAGGTCAGTCCAGTCAGTCAGGTCAGTCAGGTCAGTCAGGTCAGTCAGTCAGTCAGGTCAGTCAGTCAGGTCAGTCAGTCAGTCAGTCAGGTCAGTCAGTCAGTCAGTCAGTCAGTCAGTCCAGTCAGGGCAGTCAGGTCAGTTTAGGTCAGTATCAGGGCAGTAGTCAGTCAGTCAGTCAGGTCAGTCCAGTCAGTCAGGTCAGTCCAGTCAGTCAGTCAGTCTCAGTCCAGTCAGTCAGTCAGTCAGTCCAGTCAGTCAGTCAGTCAGTCAGTCAGTCCAGGTCAGTCAGTCAGCAGTCAGTCCAGTCAGGTCAGTCAGTCAGGTCAGTCAGTCAGGGCAGTCAGTCAGTCAGTCAGTCAGTCAGTCAGTCAGTCAGTCAGTCAGTCAGTCAGTCAGTCAGTCCAGGTCAGTCAGTCCAGTCAGTCAGTCCAGGTCAGGTCAGTCAGTCAGGCAGTCAGTCAGTCGTCAGGTCAGGTCCCAGGTCAGTCAGTCCAGGTCAGGTCAGTCAGGTAGGTCAGTCAGTCAGGTCATCCAGAGTCAGCTAACCATCCAGCGGCAGTCCCGGTTCATCAGTCATCAGGATACAGGTCATCTGAAGTAGGTCCACAAAAAACAATGGACACAACAACACAAACACATTCGATGTATGTAGTCTCACTTTCTTCACTACAGGAACTTACTAGGAACTTACTTGAAGCTGATGGTCCCACAACAAAAAAACAATGAAAAACAGCGAATATTTAGATGAATGAGTAGAAGCTTCCTCACGCACCGAAAGCCATAGCCAAACTGACGCGCACTCGCAAGTGGGCCCCAGCCGGCAGACGCGTTCAAAACTACCAATCACAGAAATAACGGCCGATCATTGGGAGCCGAAAAACAGGCCGATCACCGAGTAGGCCGGCAACAGGAACAGCCGATAACCGAGGGTCCACTGTACAATATATTTATACATATGGACCAGGATACTAGTAGCACTAGGTTCTCACCTTCATACTTACAAATCAGATTGGATAAAATTCTCACCTTCTTGTTTACAAATCGGCTTGGATAAAATTCAAATACTTCTCCTTTGTAAGAGGTGACTAAAATGCTGGGAGTGAGAGGCTAGTAACCCCTCCTGTATAAATTACTAAGTTTAAAAAGAAAGGTTTTTCATTTTAGGTCACCCTGCCTTGGTGGGATATGTTTTTTTTCGGGGGGGGGGGGGGATACTGTCCAGTTCGTAGCCAGAATAAAAAAAAAAAGCATTGTGGCTTATTTCCATTGGAGTTCTTTCATCCTCTCCCTCCCTGTGCAATCCAAGGAAAGTTATTGTCTTCGGAAATAGGCAACCTATAAGGTAAGAACTGTAAATATCTGTAAATGGTCAGTTCCTCAACATATGGCAGGCTTTTATGTATCAGCATACAAATGAAATGACATGCGAGAGATGGCAATAAGCCATCAAGACTTCACATTTGTGACCAAAAGAATAAATTTTTAAATGATCTAAAACCCGAGAACTATAAATACAGTGGACCCCCGGATAATGATATTATTTCAATCCAGAAATCTGTTTGGGCGCCGTTATACACCGAATTTGTTCCCACAAGAGATATTGTGAATTAGATTAGTCCGTTTCAGACCCCCAAAAATACACCTACAAAAGCACTTACAAAAATACACTTACATAATTGGTAGAGTTGGGAGCTGATCGTTATGCGGGGGTCCACTGTACTTTGGAATTTAGTCATTATTTCACAGTAAAATATTTATAACCTATGTATGTTGCAGAATAAGTAATCATTTCTTGTACAAATTGGTATTTTGGAAGATGTGGAAAATGCATAATTTATTTAGGTCATAATGCACATCAAGAAGTCTCAAGACAGGTGACACTTTCAGGTTATGTAACCTAACATTACCAAACTTAACCTAGTGTAACCTAACCTAATCTAACCAATTTTCATTAGTACCACTCATAATAAAAATTTGCACAAAAAATTATAAATTCATGATGTACACATGTTATATGCATTGAAAAGTATACAATAATGTCAAACTTCTGCAGAATAGTTGCCAGTAACTATAGCTGGAAAGTGAACATGTTTTATTGAAATTAATTTACGTTAAATATGATTTGGGCGAGAAAAAAGAAAGAACTAAATTATAAGAGGAAACTACAATACTTACGGCAGTTCTGAACTTTAGAGAAACATTGGAAAATATTACAATGCACAAGATATAAATTATGCATACAGAGTTATGCAATATTTATGAAAATAGTATCATGAAGTTTATTTCATAAATGGGTAAAATTAGAGATATTAAATACTGGTTCAATGGAAAGAGCTGGAGTACTACGAAAAATAAAGAAAACATTAAAAAATATAGGAAGCAGGCCAATATTGAGACTGATCAGGAATATAAACAAGCCAAAAATAAATAATAAATAAGAAAAGAACTGACAAAGATATATGTAGTTGACGGAGACAACTAAACCATTTTTTTTTTTTGGGGGGGGGGGGGTTGTAAAAACGGAAACAGACATAATACAAAGAATTAGGGATGGCAACACTACTACTGAAGAGGAAATATGAAATACACTAAATAGAAAGTTTTAGTGAGCTTACAGAAGTTATTTTGTGCAGGCAATTTAAAGCTCAAGCAAAACAAGTTAAGAGGATACTGAGAACTGTAATTTGTATGTCTTTATAACCCTTCAAATGCTTTACGTGCAAGGGATCCAACGGTGATTTCTGACGCACCTATCAACCACGACAACCCACAAAAAATTTAATTATTATAATCAAGGAGGAAGTGTTAAACCCGTAAGATTATACAGTGCCTGTGGGAGGGTGGGGGAATGTGGAAGGTATTCAGTGATAAAGTGATAAACAGTGATAAACCACCACCAGTCACAACCACTGATAAACCACCAGTCACAACCACAGTGATAAACCACCACCAGTCACCAGTGATAAACCACCACCACCTGGAGTTTACCTGGAGTTTACCTGGAGAGAGTTCCGGGGGTCAACGCCCCCGCGGCCCGGTCTGAGACCAGGCCTCCTGGTGGATCAGAGCCTGATCAACCAGGCTGTTGCTGCTGGCTGCACGCAAACCAACATACGAGCCACAGCCCACCTGATCCGGAACTGACTTTAGGTGCTTGTCCAGTGCCAGCTTGAAGACTGCCAGGGGTCTGTTGGTAATCCCCCTTATGTGTGCTGGGAGGCAGTTGAACAGTCTCGGGCCCCTGACACTTATTGTATGGTCTCTTAACGTGCTAGTGACACCCCTGCTTTTCATTGGGGGGATGGTGCATCGTCTGCCAAGTCTTTTGCTTTCGTAGTGGGTGATTTTCGTGTGCAAGTTCGGTACTAGTCCCTCTTGGATTTTCCAGGTGTATATAAATCATGTATCTCTCCTCCTGCGTTCCAGGGAATACATGTTTAGGAACCTCAAGCGCTCCCAATAATTGAGGTGTTTTATCTCCGTTATGCGCGCCGTAAAAGTTCTCTGTACATTTTCTAGGTCGGCAATTTCACCTGCCTTGAAAGGTGCTGTTAGTGTGCAGCAATATTCCACCCTAGATAGAACAAGTGACCTGAAGAGTGTCATCATGGGCTTGGCCTCCCTAGTTTTGAAGGTTCTCATTATCCATCTGTCATTTTTCTAGCAGATGCGATTGATACAGTGTTATGGTCCTTGAAGGTGAGATCCTCCGACATGATCACTCCCAGGTCTTTGACGTTGGTGTTTCGCTCTATTTTGTGGCCAGAATTTGTTTTGTACTCTGATGAAGATTTAATTTCCTCATGTTTACCTATCTGAGTAATTGAAATTTCTCATCGTTGAACTTCATATTGTTTTCTGCAGCCCACTGAAAGATTTGATTGATGTCTGCCTGGAGCTTTGCAGTGTCTGCAATGGAAGACACTGTCATGCAGATTCGGGTGTCATCTGCAAAGGAAGACACGGTGCTGTGGCTGACATCCTTGTCTATGTCGGATATAAGAATGAGGAACAAGATGGGAGCGAGTACTGTGCCTTGTGGAACAGAGCTTTTCACCGTAGCTGCCTCGGACTTTACTCTGTTGACGACTACTCTCTGTGTTCTGTTAGTGAGGAAATTATAGATCCATCGACCGACTTTTCCTGTTATTCCTTTAGCACGCATTTTGTGCGCTATTACGCCATGGTCACACTTGTCGAAGGCTTTTGCAAAGTCTGTATATATTACATCTGCATTCTTTTTGTCTTCTAGTGCATTTAGGACCTTGTCGTAGTGGTCCAATAGTTGAG